AAATAGGTCCCAAACCTGGACAATTAGGGTTTCATAAAACAGCGCGGACTCGCCGAGTCCACTCATGAACTCGCCGAGTCCGGTCATTAATTCGGATGAGAATTCACGACCCTACTCGGCGAGTCTAAGCACCAACTCGCCGAGTCCCTCCACAACTCCAAAATAAATGAATCAAATAATATAACTGAGAATCCGGATGTTACAATTCTCCCCCACTAGAATCAGACTTCGTCCTCGAAGTCTTACTCTACTTAGGAGCACCCATCAAGCCAATCAATACTAGCAATTTCTACATGTACAACATATTCATCAATTCCATAATGCAATCTAAGCGTTATTTTTATAGAACGCGTTAGGAGAATGATCAACTAATTGTATGTTCACCGAGCATATCGAACACATGGATTAGGCATTTGAAACTTAGGTCACCAAAGTGTAATTATGTATCAGATATGACTAAGATAACCAACAACTAAGTACATCAAAAGACCTCCTGCACGATTACTACAAGTACAACGAAACTCTTCTAGCTATGAAAATATAAAGGAACCCTAATTTCGTCAATTCTCATCGATACTAGTACAATTACATAGATTACAAGCTCAAATACCAATCAATTCGTGTATATGAACAGAAGACCGACCCACTTCCTACCTTCAATCATAATTCTTCTTTTTGGACCAACTGAGGACCGAAGACCTTCCCCCCCTCTCTCTCTCTCTCTCTCTCTCTTTCTCTCTCTCTCTCTCTCTCTCTCTCTCTCTCTCTCTCTCCGCCCACCTTCCCCCATCCTCATTCGCATCTTACTGCAAGAGCAGAAAAAAAGTAGGCTCGCTGCTTCTTCCCTTTTCTGCGGACCATTCGAACATCAGAGGTCCTCAATTTCTCAAACCTTCACCCACCAAGAATCGACAACAGCTTCTTCTTTTCTTCTTCTTCCTTAGGTCAAGCAAAACCCCCGAGATCCTCCCCCACTTCTTTTCCCGATCGAACGCCATCGGAGCCCTTTCTTCGATCGGTTGTTTCTTTTTCTCAAATTGAAGAAAACAGAGACCTGACCCCTTTTCCCTAATTTCAATTTTTGGTCTAATCAACCAATTCAACCACTCCACTTTATGAATTTGACCAAAACAGTCCCCTATGGAAATTACTGACAAATTAACCTCAAATCTCATTGATTCTTTTAAACCATTTCATCCCCTCCTTTGTAATTAGATTACAAATTCATTTTTTACTTTGTTTTATATGATTTCTAACAATATTAATTTTTACAACTTTAATTTTATGTTGTTTTACATGTGCTTTCACATGTAAATGCTTACTATTAGAATAATATTTCTTTTTTAAAATCTAATATTATGGTTAATGGAATATAAATAAGATTCTTACATAATTGTTAATTACAATCTTTATATGATGTAATAACAATATTTCAATAATATGTTTACTTTTTATATATCACTATTTTCAACATATTTCATTATAAACTTTTAAACGTAACTTACATATACCTAAACAATATATTTTTTATTATTTAATATCTATAATTTTTTTGAAATATTATATTAATCGTGTAAAAAATAAGAACATGGATATATGTGAAACTATTGTGCGATATTATAAAGTTTAATAAAAATATTACAATTATATATTATATACTACCAATTTGTAGGTTTATATGTTATTTCTTTGTAATTTAATCATAATCTGTCAATATGTTAAAAAAAATATATTATACCCCTTTGTTCAACATATACATATTATATATGAATAATTTATTCTGTACTTTTAGGCATGTTGTTTTATTAACTAAATCGAGTTATCTGTTAACGTTGCAGACATATAATGTATTCAATTTCTTCCAAAAAAACTAAAAAATTAAATAGTTTCCTCTTAGATAATACAAATAATATTAAATTGGATACTACATCAACATGTCTATCTGCAACAACTAAAACTGTTGATACTTCAGCAAACTTTCCATCTGCTGCAAATAAATATTGCTCGACACTGGTTACTAATGCTTACAAAGGTATGTTTATTTCTTCAATTTTGTTATAAAAAACATATTTTTTTACCTCCTTATACATTTTATAGCCTATACTATTATTGTTTATGCTAAAAAACAACAATAACATGTACCAAAGATTGATTTGTTTCTCAAAGATCCAGTTTTTTCACATGGGTAATTGTATGTTGCCTTATCTAGAGTTCAAAGCACAGAGGGATTAGAATTATTAATTTAGATAAAGATGGCAGACTCACATATAAAACTTCCAATGTTGTTTATAAGGAAGTTTTTTGAAATTTATAACCAACTTTTTTGTAGCATCTTTTAGTCATCCATCATATTACTTTATTTATTTATAATTACGTATTGTATTTTTTATGTTAATTTCATTACCACACATGGGTAATGCATCATCTCCGTATGTTCAACAAGAATCATACACCAAAATTCAAGTTAAAAATCTTTACTTGTAATTGAATACTTACCATTTACTCTTTAAAATATGCATTATCATAATTCAGAAGTTTTCTAATCTAATTTGTAGCCAACTTTTTTGTAGCATATTTTATTCATTTTTAGCAAATCATACTTAATCCATCATATTACTTTATTTATTTATAATTCCGTATTGTTTTTTTTATGTTAATTTGATTACACATATTGGTAATGCATTATCTGCATATGTCCAACAAGAATCATGCACAAAAAATAATGAGTTTCAAAAATCTTCATTTCTAATTAAATACTTACCATTTAGTTTGTAATTAAATACTTACAAATCAAAAAGTTATTGAAAAATGCAATATTACAATTCATATGTTATTAAATTAATTAAATATTAATTTATTAAATAATTAATTTTTAAATTCAATTAAAAATCAACACCCGTGTGTTCCACGGGTTTTAACCTAGTGTGTGTGTGTGTATATATATATATATATATATATATATATATATATATATATATATATATATATATATATATATATATATATATATATATCATCTCTTAAGGAGGAGGGAGTCCTTCCCTTCCAACCACTGAACCCAATGTCACATCAACTTTTTTACTTTCTCTTTCTTCTATCTTTCCCAACCCAACCATATGAAAATCCTATCTTTCTCAATCCACTCAACCTACTTTCCATATCATTCTTTTTTATTTTTTCATTTTTTTTGCTAATTTAAAAAAATTCTAAAATAATATTAAAAATAACATTTAATATTCTTTTTATTTAAGTAAATTAGAAAATATAAACTAAAATAAAACATAACATTTTTTTGATTTTTTTTGCTAATTTAAAAAAAATCTAAAATAATATTTAAAATAACATTTAATTAAAAACCACACTTAAAACAAATACACGATAATTATAAAACACAGTAATTAAAAAAATACACTAAAAAAAAGACAACATAATTTAAATCCTAAAACGGCAATTGAAATAACTAGTTATTATCTAGAGTTGGAATGTAGACATGTTCAATGTGATCAGTAAGATCAGATCGAAGCTGGTGGTGGGTTTCAGCATTGCGCAATTCATGTATTATTTCTTGGTCATCAACTTCGTCAGTGAGGGGATCGGGCTGATACACAGGACATATCGCAGCACCCTCATCTTTCAATATCATATTGTGTAGTATAATGCAAGCATACATTATATTTTTTGTTTTCTTCACCGTCATAGCTCGTGCAGGCATCTTTAATATGTCCCAACGTCCTTTAAGGACCCCAAAAGCACGTTCTACATCATTTCTTGCTGATTCTTGTGCCACCTTGAACCGTATCTTTTTGCCGGTAACTAGATATGGATATGCCTTCACAAATACAGCCCATGATGGATATATTCCATCCGCAAGATAGTAACCATGTTTATAGTGTTCACCATTCAGATAAAATGAACAATCGGGTCCTGTTCCATGATATTTCTCATCAAACAATGGTGATTGGTAGAGGATGTTTAAATCATTGTTAGACCCGACTACACCATAGAATGCATGCCAAAACCATAAATCTTGTGACGTCACCGCTTCTAGTATCATTGATGGATACTGATGGCCACCCTCATATATTGGCCTCTCAATTCTGTTGGACAATTCCTCCAATTCCAATGTGTGCAATCAATGCTACCAAGCATTCCAGGGAATGTCAGTGGATGTTGGACGGTGTAAATATTCATCCTTATACACTTGGACAACACCGTAGAAAAAGTTTTCAAGAGATTCACGAGAAGTTCTTTCTGACAGATTTAGATACTCATCTAACGAGTCTCGGTTATAACCCTTCGCTAATTGACGTATTGCTAATGTGCATTTTTGTAGCGCACTGAAACTTCTTTGATTTGTTGCATCCCATGTTGTTTGAAAATAAGGATAATTCGCCTCCAGGTCACCAACAAGTCGCATAAACAAACCCTTACTCATACGAAACCTTCTGCGGAACTGCGCATGACCATAGGTTGAATCATCTGCAAAATAATGTCGGATCAACAGTCGTTCAACCTCTAAACGATCTCTGTGGATTGTGTTTCTCCTTTGAATGTTGCTTGAACTAGCATTATTCTGAAGAAGCAGTTGTGCAGTACGAGACAATACAGGTAACAAATTATTGTTGATAAGTTCATCCTTAGATGATGAACTGTCATCGTTAACTTCCATTACTATTTTCCGAATGTTTGGATTCATTTTGAAAGAAGAGAAAAGTTAGAGAGAAAATGAAACAAACATGCATATATATATAAAATGAAACAAGCATAGCTATATATAGATAATGAAACAATGATACATATAGAGAATCTTAATAAAAATAAAAATAAAATAAAAATGAACATGAAAATAAAATAAAAATAAAAATAAAAAAACATAATAATAAAGAGAAAGATTCTCCAGTCAAATGATGTCGACATTTTGAACTTCACAGGTTCTGTAACTCCCAACCATACTTAGTTGCAATTTGTCGTTTCCTTTCAAGCATCGTGCGCAAAATACCTCAAGTCAAATGATCATGCGGCCGGAGAAAATACTCCATATCTTGGTTCTCTATCTCGCGATCCAACAATTGAGTTTTTCTTTTTTCACTAGCTTCGAGAATGCGTAATTTTTGTTCCTGATACCGTTGTCTTTGTTCTGCCTGTGTTTCAGTTGCAGTCTTGATGCCGGCAATTTGTTTGAGGAGATCAAACATTTCATTTTCTATTGATGATGTTGATTCCGCTTTCTTTCCTTTTCTTTTTCTCTGAGGCGGTGAGTCTTCAATACTAAACGACTGTTGTTGTTGGGGGGAGAATCCAAGAGGATATTGTGGATCAGATGATGATCTGTAGGCGTTGGATGAAGATGTTTTGGTTCGTTTTGAAGAAGGAGGTGGGGAGTCTTCACCCACTTTTTTAACAAATGCCCATTTTGCGTTGTCTTTCAACCGCTACTAAGCTTGTTGATGAGGAAAACCTTTCTGGTTAATAGTCCTCTGATACTCGCTTAGTGAAGATTGTAAAACATCAGCCTCAGATCTCCTGCTAGCCACATTGTTCATCTTACGGTTATAGATGCCGTTAAAAACATTACATTTCTTTTGGAGGTCTTTCCATTTTGAGTTTACTTGGTGTCGTGACCGATCCGAACCTCCCATTTGAACACTGAAATGCTCTAGAATCCTCTCCCAAAATGCATCGAACCTTTGTTGATTTCCGCGTTGTTTATCTTTAGAAACATCGACATATGCCCTATCCAAAGCCAACTCTTCGTGTTCCACCCCAGTTCTTTCGCTTCTGGCAGAGTGTATAGTTGCATTTTTTCTCAGCAACGGGTTGCAACTCCTCGCTGGTTTTTTCTTCGATTCTTTCGGGAGCTGGGTCGTCACTAGAACTATCAGATTCTTCATTCTGAGCATCACAGAACTGGAAATTTTCGGGTTGAGAAGATTGGAATTGGGTTTCTGGAACCCTTTGAGAAAACTGATTCCATGGATTATAACTCTGATTTTCCTCTGGAAGTCTAAATGTGTTGTAAGATTGTTGCGCCGGGAAATATTGTTGTGGATAGTTTTGGTTTTGTTGGTAGCTTTGGTAGTTTTGATATTGTTGATAGTTTGGATTTTGAAAATCTTGAAAAGAAAATGGAATATCTTGATTTGAACCGCCTTGTGTGGATTTGTGTTTTTGACTAGAACTGGTTTGTTTAGCTTTGCCTCCGGAATCCATTGAATGTAACTAAATGAATCAAATGAAACATAAAATTTTCCAAAGTAAAAACACTACAAATGAATGAATGAATTATTCATCTATATATAATATGGCAACATACTACAAAACCATAGAGTAAATAAACTTATAAAATAAAAAAGTTAAAAACAAAAACCCGTATCAATGTAGTCAAAGAATGTAGTCAAAGTTAAAGCTCAAATGTGACAGCTATATGCATTAACTTTAGTCACATACATTACTTCTCTTGCAGGGAATCTTTTGGAAAGCTGCTACAAAAAAACAAAACATTGATTCATACTTTCTAACTTTACCAACGGGTTCACCAACCCATTTTTCAAATGTGAAGCCACTGAACCTGGCGAAACCAATGTTGAGTTATCGTTTCTGGACGGTACCGCCAGTACCGTCTTTATCTTTTTCCACGATTCCGTCCTGCCTTAAGTACTAATTCTACAAATAAATTAAATAGAGAATTGTCCCATAAAAATGACCACCCTTGGTGTTTGTGGCAATTTTATTGATATTGTGGATTTTATAACCCATGCCAAATTACATTACCATACATCTAGCCCTAAATAAGAACAAAAAAATTAGATGAGAAACTACTATGCTCAACCCTTTATAAATTTGCAATAAACACTACCACCTTCATATAAACTCAAAATTTGAAGTTTCATAAAACTGAAAAAATGCATGTCTCCAAATGACGATTGAGAAGTAAAGAGCCACATACCATTCAAAATTTGGAAAAGTTTAGAGTTCATAAGATCTGGAAACATGTTTCAGTTCATCATTTTTTTCTATTATATTGTTATTGTTCTTGTTCTTGTGTTCATCGGAGCTCAACGAAAATGTCTAGTTCTTGAGTTCATCCTTATTGTGTTTATGTTAGTCAGAAAATTCATGTTTGGCTAAAAACCTACACTAACTATGGTGTTTTGTGGACATGGTAAATAAGTTTAATGATTATATGTTGAGTCATTAATCCGTACTTTTTTACAATATTACTGGGTAAATCTCTTATCACCGGTAATAATGTTATTTTTGTATAATCTGTTAAGTTTAAATGTAATATTGAAATTTAATGATATTTTATATACAACAAATATATATTTTTTTGCAGATGAGTTCATTTTTATGGAAATAAACGACCGAATAAAAGGAACCAAATCGATCTCACTAGAAAATTAATATTTTTTAGACTAGATTGTAAGAATAATCTATATGTTTTGTATGAAAATTGCACTCTTAGAATAAATTATAGAAACCGAATTTTAGGGTTTGTTTTTTTCAACACCAAAACTAAGGTCAAATGGTTTTTCAACAAAAAAAAAAAAATGAAACCAAATCATAGACATCGAATGATTTTTCAACCGAAAAAAAAAACTGAAACTAAATCATGAATTCACAAACCAAATTGTTTTTTAACCAAAAAAAATATAATTTTTACGGTCATAGATTCACAAACCAAATAGTTTAACCAAAAAAAATATAATTTTTATGATTTATATAATATTTGTAGAGAACAAATAGATTACAAATTGTATTTATTAGTTTTTTTGATAAAAAAATATAACAATAAATAAATAACAGTCAAGATGAATTTAGAAATAAACAGAAAGGAAAAAACCTCCATAAAACTTTTTTGAGAACGAATGTTCCTCGTACACGCATTAAAATGGGATGATCAGCTATAAAGTTCCATACAGTTTAACTCATTTTCTTACCTTTTATTTCTGCTGAGGATTCAACTCTGTGGCTGACCTTCTTCACAACATTGCAGAGGGTGCATGACTATGGATACAACGGAAGTGGAATAAAGACAATCGACAACGACTGCACAATCAATCGTTCATATGACATCATCACGCCTCAAACACGATCGTTTAAGGTAAATTCATGACAGGATTATATGTGTTGGTTAATTCTTGTTATATGTATATCCAGTCAGGAAGCAAAATCTCGTATTTTGACCTAAATTGGTCAAACATGGGGAAATCTCCAAATTGATGAGATATAGATGATTAAATTAATTATGCTGTTGTGTTGACATGCATGCTCACTTTATGCTACAATTCGGAAGCTGAAATTAATCAATTACTGCGGTCGATTGAAAAAAGGCCAATCTTCTGTAGATAAACACAACATGTTCAAAGGACGTTGGATCATCTACAACGTTAAATATAAGCATTGTAGTATAGAGTATATATATGGATGTATCATCTCTTAAGTAGTAATTTTTACAAACAATCTACACTGAGAATTCTCCGAGAAAATTAGTCATAAAAACAAACAAAACAACTACATTTTCAAAAGTATGAACTTTTCATAATGTGTTATTTCACACAAGGCGAGAAATGGCCACCCATGGTGCTGGTGGCAATTTTATTGATATTGGGGACTTAAAAACCCATCTGCCAAATTACATTACCATATACATGTATGATCTAGCCCTAGATATGAACTGTAATAGATCTGTTGAAGATAAGATACATATTAGAAAATAAGTTAAAAAGAAAAATTAGATGAGAAACTATGTATGTCTAACTAACCCTTTGCAAATTTACCATAATCTTCACATAAACCCAATCGCTGAATCCATCATAAAAGTGAAAAAATGCATGTCTTCCTCGATGATTGAGAAGTAAAGCCCCACATGCTATCCAAAATCCAGTAACAAAACCAGTTCCCCCACCAATATAAAACCATCCCCAAACTTCATCTATGTCTTCCCCATCACCCTCGCCTTTACCACTGACTGATGTTGCTTCTGATTCTTCATCTCCAGGACATTTTCTGGAAAGGGGGGGGGTCCACATAGTCCTGCGTTTCCATCGTATCTTGAAGGTGGAAAGGACTGGAGCTGGATGCTTGTTGGGATTCTCCCTGACAAACTATTATATGAAACGTCTAGATGATTTAAAAAAGTCATACCAGACATGCTTAATGGCATCTCTCCTGACAAGTTGTTTCCAGATAAATCCAAAGTTTCAAGTTGTTTCATCTTGCCAATTGTCAGTGGAATCTCTCCAAGCAGAGAGTTCTTCGATAAGTTTAGTGAAATCAATTCATAAAGATTGGTAATCGCATATGGGATTTGACCTGTTAAATTGTTGCTCGACAGGTCAATGCTCCTCAACAATCCCAGATTTCTGAAGAATTCACGTTCATCTCCTTGTCACTCGATCATTGCATGGTCAACATATGCATTTAGAACATGATGATCGCTTGTCTCCATGAAATGCAAATTTTGAGGGTATCCTCTTTGAACCATGCTTGTAAGATTACTCAAACATGAGGGGATGGTTCCATTGAGATGGTTCTTTGACATGTCTAGAATTTGAAGATATGGTAATTGACATAACTGCAATGGAATTGTTCCAAAGAAGCTGTTTGATCTTAGGATAAGAACATACAACCCCCATAAGTTTTCCCCAATCCAAACAGGCACATTACCAGAAAACTTGTTGGCCCCCAAATTCATCAAGTTTAAACTCGTGCAATTCTTCAAGGATAATGGCAATTCTCCAGAAAAGTTGTTCTTGTATAAATCCAGCACCTCAAGTTCTCTCAAATATCCAATTGAGGGAGGAAGCCTTCCAGATAGATTGTTGTCTTCTAGTTTAAGAACTACTAGTCGTTTAAAATGCCACAAACAGTTTGGAAGTGGTCCACTTAGGAAGTTACCAGAGAGGTCAAGAAATTGTAACAACCCATCGACAATTTGGCATATAAATGAGATTCCTCCAGAGAATTTATTTCTGGAAAGATCTAACGATGCTACAGTGGAAGAAACATTTGACATTGGACCATAAAAGTTATTGGAACTCAGATCTATTACTGAATTGCTGTCAAAATGTGATGATAAATCTGGTGCATTCCCGCTGATGTTGTTGGAAGAGAGATTCAGATATGTTAATTGAGAAGGCCACATGGACCACAAATCCATGGGAATGGTGTCTGAAATTCTATTATTGGAAATATCAAGATTGGTAAGATTTGTGAGTGTTTGGATATCATCGGATAGTGGCCCTGTAAATTGGTTTTGAGAAGCATGCAAGTATTGTAATGAAAGCGATGTGCATCCAGACAAGTTGCTCAGAAAAACAGAAAATTCCATCATTGCAGAGTTGTTAAAGAAGTACAAACGTTCCAAACTACAGAGGTTACCAATATATTTGGGTATCCCATCTAACATGTTGTTAGAGAGATAAAGGTATCGGAGCTTATTGCTGGTTAATGGGAACAACCAATGATACATGGATGAGGTGAGACTGTTGTTTCCAAGATAAAGGCCTTCAATAGATGAAGAAGAAGAAGAGTTGAGAAATGAAGAAGAATATGGATACATGACCTGTGACAGCTCACATCCACCTAAAGATAAATCTGAGAGTTTCTGGAGACTCAGAATGACATCTACCCAGTGATTTTGTTTGGCTAGGGAAATCCCATCCAAAGCAAGTGCCTCCAACTGAGAGAGACGAGACAACCACTCGAGGTTTTCAACTCTGCAACTTCCAACATATGAAAGGTAAAGCACTTGCAAGTTGGTGAGGTTGCCAAACTCTGGAGGAATGGTTCCATAAAAAGAGTTAGCAGAAAGGTCAAGGTACCTTAATTGGGTCATGGAACCAATGGACCTGTGAATGGTTCCATTAAAAAAATTGGCGGGAAGATCAAGATGATTCAAGTAGCTTAAGTTAACCAATGAATGGCTAATCTCACCTTCAAGGAGACATAAGCTAATATTAAGCCCTGTGACATAACCTGTTTTGTTGTTGCACGTGACTCCTTTCCACTTACAGCAGTCATCTTCTTCAGCTCTCCACGTATAGAGACAACCAAAGGGATCTTGGAGGGGAGCTTTGAAAACAAGAAGAGCATCTCTCTCGTTATCCAAACACTTTTTCATAACACCATTACCATCTCCTCCTCCTCCTCCCACTGCAACCAATTGGTTGGTGGCAGTTGTAGTCACAAGGATTAGCACGACAAGTAAGAAAAGTATATGAACACACTGATTCATATTGTGAATACAAATCTTGCTGATTTTTGGATTGTATTAATGCTTATATATATATGAACTACCCAATGATGGTTTATATAGCTTCGACTATGAAGATGAAGGATTTAATTGAATGGCCACGAATTGATGGTCCATCTGTGTAGAGCATAGAATACTTCACTTCCATGGAAATTGAACCAAGCTATAAGACATAATGATGAAAATTTGAAATAAAGTGTCCCAAATTATACGTTCAAAGACTTAGATGAGTCTTGGCAATTTGTATTTATTATATATGTTTGTCCATTTGTGAGGTTTTTTTGGTCCTCAAGTCGTGTGATATAAATCCAAAAAAAAAAACAAAGTAATGGAATCAGATACAGTAACCATGTGATAAGATATTAATTGAGTCTAAGGATTTAATCACAATGAAATGGACTTTTCTTTCTTAGATTAATTAAACTGTCAACTTGTTTGCTTCTTTTACTTTGTTGTTAAAAATAAATATTTTGATTAAAAGCGTCACAATTCAGAATTCTTTTTACCCGTAACAGTAAAGGTTTATTATTTTTTATTTATTTATTTTTCCATTAAGTGCTGAATGAACACCAAAACTATTTAAAGAACCCACATGGGGCAATTTGCTTCCAACAAGGGCAAAGTAGTCATTAAAAAAGGTAACATTCTGATAGTTAGATTTAACCGTTCAAGAACCAAATGTGTAATAAAATGAAACCACAATGATTGCAATCTAACGAAATGCAAACTAGGACTAAAGTTAAGAATTTTTGTAAAATATACAGACCAGTTCTATAATTTACTTATCAAGTAATGTATGTATAAAATGATGTTGTCTCCAAAGTGCTAAATGAACCATAAATGTTTTTTCTTTAACATAATGAAAGTCGAATAAGTGTCCATATTATGCTGTTATCTAAAATTGATATTAAATAAAAAAAATTATTGTTTTTTTAATAACTGTTGTAAAATGGAACTACGATTCACTATTATACGACTAAATATATGTTGGTGAAAAACAGCCATAAATATATGGTCTTTGAAGGAGTTGTGATGTGAAATAATAAGCATACTTTGTCAAGGATGTTGTAGAAGAACCTTCGTATCTCTGTTTTAGAAAGTATCAATGAACATAAACCCACCATTCAACGACATAAACATATCTAGTGTATGATATCAATTAAAGAACTATTAACGGAAACTTAAACCCACCAACAGAAAAAAAAAATCAGAATCAAACTAAAAAAATCAAAAGAAACAACATTCAACAGAAAATAATAGATATCAAGGTAACGGAGGTTCAAGAGAACACGAAACATTTCATTTTCTAAAATAAGTTTCTATTTTACGTATATAAAGATCCAGGAAAATCAAGTTATTTAACATCAACCCCAAAATAGGAACAAAGCGACAACTACAAATAAAGTTGTAATAAAAGAATATGCTATTTATATTTATATTATATTATTTAATAGTTAACACGGTCTAATAGTTAAATTATCCACTTATATCAAGTAATGTAGTAAGATCGACACAAAAAAAGGTATACTCCAGACAATTGAGAAAAGTAAATTATAAAATAGCACAACAGAAACTGACCTTATAACACAATATACAATACACATCACAAATAAGAAACATCATAAAAAACAACAATCATATTCATATCATACCATTTTTACTTAACAATCTCTCCTTTCATAGCAACCGAAAGAGCAACAAGATTTCCGTCTTTTTCCACAATCACTCCTGGCATAACCACACTTCGACTCCCTACAAAACCACCTTCTTTAACCTTAATCTTCCCAAATTTCACTTTACCCCCTTCACCTTCATATATATGTCCAAACAACAAACTTTCTCTCCCCACAGATCCATACCTTTGGATACTCACCATCTCAGGGTTTAACACAGCACCCATCCCATCCACATAAACCCCTTCATCCCAAGCCACGTCAGACCCCATCAACTTCATCCATATCCCAAACATAAACGAACCACTTGTCATTTCCAAGAAATACTCCCCAACCAATGTCCTTATCGCCTGCCATACTGTGTCCATATACACTCCTTTACTCCATATCATTACACTTTCCCCTTCTTTCTTCTTCCCGACAACAACCCATTTCATTACAACACAAATTAATCCAGATAAAACCCCGGAAATCACCCACAAAAATGGTAGCATCCAATGTAATTGTTGGCCATTTTTCCCTTTCAAGAAAAAAGTTATATTAAGCGGAGTGAAGATGATCAACCCCATTAGAAAGTAGGGGATGAAAACTTGAAGTATGGGTTGACCAGTCAACATCCATAAGTTCTTGTACCATGGTCTTGTGAGTGTCACTTTTTCAACTTCTTTTTTTACCATCATGTTTCCCATTGGACAACCAGTGAGATCGACTTTTACATCAGATTGATCCAAGAAGTTTCTCCAAGCTTCCGGAAGCGGCTTGTTGTTGCGTAAATGTTGGCAGATTGAGTAAACAACCGATCTTCCATGATCCATGGAAGCACTCTGGGAGCATGACGTGGCACGGATAACATCAACTTCATGGCATCTTAGAAACGGATTAAACTCCAACTTTTCAGATTCTTCTTTCGAGAGTGTTTCATCGATAGTTATCTCTCCGATTTCCACGTAAGGATATTCCCTTTCGTCCCATGGCTTTGTACAATCAAGCGCAACCTCATGTCCATTTTCGTCATTTGGCACTTCACGGACTTGAAACTGAAGAACATACCGGACTTTTTTAGAATTCACTCGACCAATAAAATCATCTTCTAGAAAAAGAAGCGGACGTTTGTCATTTTCGTCCCTCGGGATTGCACCGGTTTCAGGAGGAAGTATACCCGTGGGGTCCACTTTCCCGGAATCTTCATTTATTGTTTCATCGAAAGGTCTTAACTTAAACTTCACATACATTTCCTTTCCATCTTTGAACCTAAACAACCTGCAAATGTTTGAATAGTAATGGAGGTCCGCATAGGAATCAGCTTTCCGAAGGGAATCCCACATTGCATCACGTATGTGAGGAGCATGTTTCACATGCTCTTCACGTGCCCGGGCCCCACACACCAACCATGAAGCAAAGTCACCAATGGTACGCGCGTGAAACGCTTTACCAGTCTTCAATGTCAAATCAAGAAGTGGAGAGTTTTCAGTATTTGAAAGTATTCTTATGGCTGCACCACGTGGATCAAGTCTGGCATCGTCATCTGAACTTAAGCAATTGCTATGCCGAAGAACAATGGAATAGCACATTCCAGGGGAGAAAATTTTGTGGTCTGGGAATCCAGGGATATTTTCATAAATCTTTAAAGTTCCTTTTCCACACGCACCAATTCGATGGAAGTATCTTGCTTTTACTTTAAGGGTGACAGCAGCAAAGTTTGCAGCAAGGTTTCCAAGGACTTTTTTGTACTTTTGGTCCATTTCTTCGATTCTGTCATCTAAAACATGAGTCATGTTTTTAACCATGATCGGAGTTTGAGATCCAACAAAAACACCACCTGTTTTGAGGACAGAATTCATGGGAGCAATCGAAAGGGCGCCAAGAATGACATTGGGCTCGATAACAGCGCCAGGTAGGACAACACCTTGGGACCCGATTACCGAATTCTCTTGTATCTTCACATGTCCATATACATACCCTTTTGAATTGTAAACCCCTGGGACAATCCGACTAAAATCGCCTAAATGGACGCCATCACTGATTGACACGAACTCCGGAACTGGAATCGAGTTGATTGCTCTTATAGAGCAATGATGACCGATCTTTGCTCCTAAAAGTCGAAGGTAAACACAGAATGCTTCTGTTCCAGAAAGGAATTTTGCAAACTTTAAATGGCAGGAAGTGGATAAACGATTGCAAAACCACATGATAAAATGGTTTTTATGTTTTTCTTTTGAAAGGATATAAAGAAAAATGGAAGTAAGGAAAGTGAGGATGATGCCATGAGAGAGGTATGCTATTGCAATGGTGAAGGAAAAAGATAAAGGGTTTGTGGGAATGTCTTTGAAGATGATGGCATATGCAAGAACATTGAAAGGGAGCCAGTGAACAGATGCACATAAGCAAAGAAAGCTGAAGTGTTGCAAAGATTGAGGCTTTTGAAGTACCCAAAGGTAGATTATGTAACAAATAGCTGCAGATAGAGAGCTTACAAAACCAACCATGTAAATCCCAATAATGTGGTAAAAATGCTCATGTTTAACCTCTTGTAAATTAATACCCTGCAATCGAGGTTCAAAAATAAAAGTTGTTACCCTTTTTATAAAAAAAACAAATCAAGAAAAGAGATTAGTACATTAGTAAAACATACCTTTTCAAGTTTAGGAATCTTGGAAACCTTAAATTCACGTTGACCACCTATGACCGTTTGCAAGGCAGGAATCTCAATCCCATCTTCTACAATGCTACCTTTTTGAATTACAGCATAAGGACCAACACATGAGTTTTCCCCAATTCTGATTGGTCGAAAACTCACAACACCATTTTTGACTTCATGGCCTTGAATCAAAGCTCCTTCTGCAATCATTGCTCCATCTCCAATCGTGACTAAATACGGGTCCGTGATATCAATGGTGTCAAGCATCACGGAGGATCCAATCTTTGCTCCAAGCATCTCAAACCATAGCCTCACATACATTGTACCCTTTAAATACACTGCCAGATTTTTAGATGCAATGTCTTGGACTTTGTATAATGTCCACCATTTCACAAAGTCGATTGACCATATGGATGTATTAGGGGTAAGACCGTAATTAGGTTGAAGAAATGAGTTCCCAAATAGGGAAATGGTAACACATGAGGTAGACATGTAAAACATCCAAACAATAGGGGCACATGCTATGGAGAATAAGTAACCGAATTGGGTTTCATGGATTAGAGGGATGAAAGCAGAAACCGAAAGATAGATTGGGATTGTTAACAAGAACAAGATGTATACAAGACCAAAAAGATGGGAAACCCAAATACCAAACTTATGAATTGAAGAAG